TGGATGAAAAGCCTTTTAAATACGTGTGCGTGGTTTCTCCGGAGACATGTAAAGCTAGAACACTGGATCCAAAATAACGCGTGGCAATCACCACCACACGCAAGCCCCGAAGCTCTGCCTTCCGCAAACCTCCTCGCTGCTCCTGCCGACTGGCAGCTGCTGCACCTGACCGCGACACGTGGGAGGCCACCACCACACTCTCTCAAGTCAGCATTTCCGTTCCCTTCCAGTGGCTCAGCAACTCGAAGCATTCTGGAGCGGTTAGCCACGCGGCTTTTCTGATTCCAGACATACTGCTTCTGGAAACATCATCAGCTGCACCACAGTCACCAAATCAAATTGCAGCCTTTGGGTTTCTGATCTTCCCTCTGCAGGATGAAGCCACCTTTTCCTGCTCGCTCTCTCTCTCTCTCTCTCTCCTTTCCCCCCTTTCTGAATCCGTCCCTCCCTCTTTCCATCTTTCACCCTTTGCAAATTCACTCTTCCAGCAAAGCACGTTAACTCTATTTGGCCTTTTGTCTACAGGTATAAACGTCGGTAAAGTTGACAACTTCAATTAAAAGAAGCTTTTAATGTCAAGTTCTCAGGCAGAAGAGTGATAAAAAGAGCCACAGAGGAGACAGGGATCAATAGTAACCTCTTTCCAGAACCTCTCTGGCCTGGCCCAGACCAGCCGACTCCATTAATTACAAAGTGTGATTTATCTTTTCACTGCATAAAGCAGTGGCAAGAGGAAGCACAGGAAACCTCACCGACAGCCCAGCAGAACGTCCCTGCTGCGGCACGCCAGCTGACGACCTTTCGGAGTGAGGAGAACCTTCGCCTCACATATTTTATTTAAAGAGACTTGTTTTATTTAATAAACAGTCATGTGTTAAAGGAGACTGCTCGGCAACTTACATAAAACCAGTCACAGCCAGCAAATGATGTCTCCCTAGACAAAGCATCGTGGCCTTCTCTTTAAAAAGAACTCCACTGTCTCCTATGCGGATGCATGCCTCAGAGTATGTGTCCTTGCTTAAACCCGGAGGCAATTAGAATGAAGATTTTTGCGAAGTTGTAAGGAAAAGATCAAAACAAATTAATTTCAAACGGGAAGCGGAGACAGAGGAGCTCCAAAGGAAAGATGGGTGCACGCATCCTCTCTATGCAGGGACTCTGGATGGCCAAGCCCACTCCCTGGATGAGGGCGGGGTCTCGTTTTCTTTACTCCTTCCTCTCCTTTTCATTCCCTATGACTTTAATTAAAGCGATTGAGGCATATTTCACATTTCAAAAAAAGCTGTAGCAAAATCAATGAGGAAACTTTAAAAAAAAACTTTTCTTTTTATGTAATACCTCACAAAATATTTAAATTCCCAATGTTTTCTCTTTGTAGAAGAGGCGTGCTGCCTCCTTTGGTCTTTAGTTAGTACAGATCTCATAAAATTTTAAAAATTCTAGTCTGAACCAGATGGCAAACCTGAATCTAATAAACAAAGATAGCTAGAGAGCTGAATTATCACTCTCATCAATATTAAAAGGATGGTAAAAAAATCACTTCAGCTTAAGGAGATGATGAATTAAATCATTTATACGGATGGGGAGGACACACTGAAGCACAGCACAGATCCGTTCTTAAGAATACTCTGGGGGCTGGCGCTGTGCCTTGTGGGTAAAACGGCCGCCTACGGCACTGGCATCCCATATGGGCACCAGTTTGAGTCCTGGCTGCTCCACTTCCTATCCAGCTCCCTGCTAATTTGCCTGGGAAAGCAGTGGAAAATGGCCCGAGACCATGGGCCCCTGCACTCACATGGGAGACCCAGACAAAGCTCCTGGCTCCTGGCTGGCCCAGTGCTGGCTGTTGTGGCCATTTGGGGAGTGAATCAGCAGATGGAAGATCTCTCTCTCTCTCTCTCTCTCTGCCTGTACCTCTCCTTCTCTGTAACTCTGACTTTCAAATCAATCAATCTTTTTTTTTTTTTTTTTTCAATGAATACTGTGTGTTTGAGGGCAGCTGGGATTCACTGTGACCTCCTAAATGCAGGCCACACAATCCTTATCTTTACCAGTCTTACTAAGAGGAGAAAGCAAACTTGCTACTTGATTGTAAATAGCAGGCGTATTCAAGTTCATTTATATCAATTTTAAGTAAAATGTTGAAATTTTTCTTAAGTAATAATACAACAGGTATGTTCAGATACTTATGATCAAATTTCTTTGAGGGAAATATGATCTAACTATTGATTAGAGCCTTCCTTATTTTAACTTCATTAGATCTGCCTTGTACATACATCAGGGTATGTAAAATGAATTATTTCCCACCCCCAAGGGGAGTAAGAATCACAAATAAGAGGCAGATGACTGCAGGAGCCCTCCAAGAGCAACCGTACATCATTATTACTGAAGACACCCAGGTTTCGCTGGTATATTGATCACTCAGCTAAATACTCCCTGATCTGGACTGCAGAAGAAATACTGGACAGAGGGACTATGAAGGCTCTAACGTTCTGTCATTAATTTGATTCACTACGACGTCTCCATTTTTCTCACCTGCAAAATAAAGGCCTCAGGCAGGGGGTTTCTGGGCTCTCCCCACTCCAGCTCTGATTCCACCAAGCCTGGCTCTGGGCAGAGCCCTCTCTGCTCACAACACGCAAGGACTCCTGGGGACGTGCAGCAGTGGCCCTCGCACCTGGATTTCCCAGAATGCAGGCTTCCCACGGCTGAGTGGCTTTCACCCTGGGAGCTTAGCTTGCAACAGCCTCCCTTTTACCTTCACCAGTCAAAATCTGACCCCCCTCAAAGGTCTAGCTGCAAGGCTGGTGTTTCCTGGAAGCTTTCCTAATCCTGAAACCTGAAACTGAACGTTCTCTCCATTGAACACCCAAATAAGTGTTCTATTTGTATTTTAAATACCTACCTACTTACCTTCATACCTGCCATCATCTTAACTAACTGCTCATGGACATACTGCATCTCTTCAATTAAACTATAATAAGCTCCTCAAAGGAAGTCATATTGCTGAGAACAGTCACTGGTATACAGTAGGTACTCAATAAATATCTGTTGGAATTACTCTCTGTGTTCCTGTTACATTCCACAAGGAATATGGGATTCTGCTCTTATGTAATTCCTTTAAATATCTTGCACATGGTAAGAGCTTATAAATGAATGCAATAATTTATTACTGGTATCTTTGTGGAAATACACCAATCATTTTTTGTTTTGTTGAAAAATTCAATTAAATATCACATATATTTCCACTAAAGAAGAATTTAACATGACATCATAACTAAAAAGCAAGCTGATTGTTTATTGAACTACCACGAGGCATGACATACATTGAACGTGGCAGTGTGGTCAATACAGGGTGCTGGGTAAGAGTCCAATGTGACTGAACCGTGGAAGCCAGCTCCCTTCTGTTGATATAAAGAGAGGGACCCAAGGGTCACTTCCCTTAACAGACTCAACCAGGGCAAATCCACGAGGGGAGTCTCGATGACCCAGGGGGACAAGCTGAGCCCTCACAGGCTGAGTGCCGGAGAAATGGGATGAAGCGCTTCGGGACGTGGGACACGGGGCTCACAGGGACAAGGACGCCTCATTTAAAGACCAGGCTGCCCAGTGAGCCTGACAGCATGAGGCCCCTTCTGACCGAACCGCAGTCTCCTCACCTACGGCGGTCGCGTGCTGGCTCTGGGTTCTGGCACAGCCCTAGGGTCCTGGTTCACCACCAGGAGGGAAAAGGCCACCTGCCTGCCCGAGCCTACAGGTGCAGCGGGTGCCCTCCATCCCACAAGGCTGTGTCCGGGCTCCTGCACTGCTCTCAGTACTCGGCCATTCCCCTCTTCCATCCCAGCCCAGTCCCTACTTAACCTGCCTTGTCCAACGAGGAGTCTTACACCTGCCTTCCTGAGTCGGTCCCAGGCTCTCACTCAACCACAGGTAAGGCCAACAGGGACCCCATAGATAGAGTAAAACCGCAATTTGGGCAGCTCTGAAGATCTGTTTGTTGGCGGTAATCCTAAGAGCCATTAGGATGGTCTAGGGTCCAGGGCCTAGAGGGAGTTAAAACAACTTATCTGAACAGGGATGCTTATAAGAACAGAAGGGAGAACTATTAGTAACCACGTTAGGACAACAGGTACAGGAACAGGGCCTGTCCCACGAAAACTCGAATATGTGCCCATGCTACACATGAATCTGCTTTGCTGGCCTCCACATTGGCTTATGCGTGGGTCACATTTCATGATCTGAATCTTTTCACAAAGAAACAGGCACATTTCTGACATGCTATTTTATTAATAAACGTCTAGAAATAAAAAAAGTAATCACAATATTGACAAATACATATCTGTAAATTCTCAGGAGGTACCACAGTACTGCCCTCCCAAGAAGACGTACTCCCAGCAGTGTGGTCCAGCAGTTCCTCAACCTACCTTAACTCTCATTTATAAATTAAAAAATTATAAATTAAAAAAATCCTGAAATTATAAATGGGAAGTCAGTTGATTCTGGGTCAAGCTCAACATAATGTTACAAAATAAAGAGCCGGATTTAAAGCTACAGACTGCCCAAGACCTTCAGTGCATTTCCCAGCACTATTCAAGCCAGGTTTCTCGCTAGGTTTAACAAATTAATTGCCACAAGTAACGGACTATGAAGTCAGTAAAAAAAAATGGAACATGAAACATCATAAAAGTTATAACATTGCTGCAGTAATCATATGAATTTAATTTTAAATATTTTATAACAGTTACCAGATAAAATTAAAAAACAGAACAAATCAATAAACCTTAAGCTATAATGCAGTTTTTTCATTACACTTCATATAAGAGTAATTTCACCACTTAAAACTTTTAAACAAGCTAATACATTCTGTCTTATCACTGTACCACACACAGCTCTAACAGACACAGATAAAGGTTACGGACTAAGTTGTCACTGGCTGGACAGGAAGCGGAAGGGGCGGGGAGGAAAGCAGCACTGAGAATTCCTGCACCAGACACTGTGTGTGGGTGCTGTAAAGGCTGCCGGCAGGCGTCCACCAGGGCTTTCACACCCTGAGAATCTGGCCACGATGCCACTCCTGTCCCGATCAACACTCAGCCCCCAGCTCCCGTCTACCGTGTTGGCCCCTGCATGGGGGCCTGCTGCCCCAGTCTCAGTAAGTCCTGCCAAAGAGCTTACCACAAAGAAATGTCCCTGCAGGCCTGCCTAGGAAATCAGGGAAACATCTAAAGGGGTAAATCCTGTTAGATCCTAGGCAACGAAGGAAGTCTGATTTTATCTGTGGCTCAAACTTAAAAAGCGGCCGTAACTCTCACATACTGCATCCGGGTCACAACACGGAAAACCTTTCCAAACGTTTCTGCTTTTGCCCCCTCTTCCTTTCTTTCCATTTCCCTCGCAGAGGAACCTGAGCTTACAGCTGCTTGTGCTGACTCTGCTCCCCAGCCCCTCCGCACCACCTGCTAACGGTGATGTACATTCTCGGGATGCACATTAGCAGGTGGTGCAGAGACGGCTCCCCAAGGACGGGAGCTGGTCACGTCTGCCCCTGAGGCCGCTTCAGGACCCCACAGTGCATCTCCCAGGTCTCACAGACGCACCTGAGCCTGACTCCCTCCCTCCTGCAGCAGGGGGAGCGCTACACTCAGCAGCTTGACGCAGCGTCCAATGTCCGGTCTCTCCTATCTCTTACAGTGCCGTGAACTTCAAGCTGGAAACAGCAGAGAATGAAAAACACCTGCTACAAATGTGTGGCTGCTTCATAGGAACCTAAGAAATAGCTCAACTGTCACATGGCTAAGCTAATGAATTGGTAAAAAAATTAAACATTGTTTTCTTCTGACTCATATTGCCATACTTATTTATCCATAGACTAAAGAAACATCTTCCCATTCTGACCTTCAGAGCTTTCGTTTTTGGAAATAGCACGCCATTGGTCAAGCCAGTCTGCGATTTATTTATTTAAATTAAATTTCTTGCTTTTACCAGTTGAAAAACGAATGCAAAAACAAAAGTGAACGGATCAGTGACTGGTTGCAGGAGAACAAGTCCTTCCTACAGCGTGTGGAGAACAGTGCACACTTTAGGAAATCAGTTCAGGTGTGGTGTCTGAGACGCTAACTAACGTTTAATCAACCTCGGTGTCTGAATCCTGCTCTCTAAAACAGCCACGAAACACTAAACTCTTTCAGATCCAGTTAGGTCAGGGGAGCCGTTTTTCCAACACAGGTCAGTGAAGCGCATTTCAGCAGGAGCTCGAAAGTGTGGCTGGTGCACTGCCGTCAGAGAGCTCTCGCACCACACAGGCTGCACAAAGGCACAGGGAGCGACTCACCACGTCGTAGGTTGTTACGATCTTCTTCAAGACCTCGGGGACGATTCCCTGCAGCTCCATGGTAGGATAGGGCTCGCTGAGGTTCAGGACCACCAGCGGGCTGTTGTCGGGCCCCAGGAAGCGGGTCGACACTGCCAGCATGCACTGCATGAGGTTGGCCACAGAGGACAGGCCACACAGCTCCTTGAACGACACCACCGCGCTCTGTTAAACGGAAGGGAAGGTGGCATTTTTAACCAGGGCTTTTAATTTCTCATGGACACAACACTGATTACACTTGAACTACCTGGTACAACAGCTATTAGCGATGCTATGAAGACTTGGCTAATGAGTCTGGGAAAAGTAGCTGTTTTCCAAAGTAAACATAGTTATAGACATCTGTAATAAAAACTTATCAAAAGTACTGAAATGCAAATAAGTCAAATTCTTCCAAAGGGCAAGGCCTCTTTTCAGATCAAAGTTCACAGTAGAGCCAAGACTGGCAAATATGAGCAAACAACAAAAATGGGCTTCTGCGTTAGAAAAATCAAATCGGGTTTAAAATAAGGATCAAATAAACCACTCATCCTAAAAAGGAAAGGGCTGTTTGTGAGGCAGGACCTTGAATCCCTCTCACCTGTTGGAGGCTGCTGCTGGTTCCTGGAGCAGCAGCTGACAAGCAGGTGTCTTGGCCCCCGGCCTCCCCGCTTAGCATCTCCTCCTGTCCCAGTGCTTCTCTGGCTTTCCAATGACCAGAGTCTGCCAGTCAAGTGTCCACGAAAGGAAACCCCTCAACACTGTCAAATTCTCGGAGCACTTGCCAAGTGCCGAGCTGTTTCAGGCATGTTGATTACCTGTTCCCTCACTCGACCCTCACAGCAAGCCGCGGGGTGGAGGAAGCGGCAGCCTGAGCCATAAACTCTGTTGGCTGTACAGCTGCACAGCCAGCAAGTGAAGAAGTCAAGATTTCACCAGCAACCTAGTGATGTTGAGGCCTGTGCTTTCAATCACCATGCTGTAACAGCACGTCGACTCTACTCACAGTGAGACTCCAAGCGCACTTGGGGTCCTGGTCTGTGCCGGGCTGGTGGCCAGTGGGGAGGATCTAGGCCCCGTAGAACCTGTGCCTTCTGCTCTCAAATTCCCCGGGTTCTTGGGGATGAGCAACACTTTAATTTCAAATGTAAGCATTTTGCTTTTATTAGCATGTCTTCAAACATGAGCATCAACCTATATCATTTCGCTCAAGAGCTCCTAGATGTCGGTGGCACAGGCAATCCTTACTGTGACATCTCAAGGGGGGTCTCTGGGTGACTCTGCCACCCCTCCCGGTCTTACTGTCTTCACCTCCCCTACTGGTGTCCACAGCTGTCCTATTTCTTTCTCTGCCTGCTCACTGTCTGTCTCCCTTTTCCACTGCCACCCTCCTCCAGAGTACGAGACCCTCAAGGGCAGGCAGTCCATCTGTCTGTCCACGGCTGCACCCTTGAGGCCTGGACTGCTCGTGTCCCACAGGCGCTCTCTAAACATCCCGCGGACCACTCTGTCGGGCTGGCACACTCATGTGGCTCTGAAAAGATGACGCCCACACTCTGGAAAAGCCTCAAGGCCTTCTGTATCCAGTGACTGCAGCAGCCAGCAGGCAGGCAACAGCGTGGCCGGCTTGGTGCTGAGGGTTCCCCAACCCACACTCACTCTCAGAGGAGCGGAAAGCCCTTTGCATTTCTGTACTGCTTTTAACTCAAGAGAAGAAAAATAAATTTCCCTGTTGTGAAGTTTTTGTATTCATTCGGTATCCAGAGAACCAGTAGACAAAAAACTACGTTGAATATCCTGTGTCAGATTTTATTTTCTGGTGTCATTCTGCGTCATTTTGAAAAATACATTTAAAAGACAACCCTCACACACAGAGCACCTCGCACACATGCAGCACGTCCCAAGACTGTGCTGGGCTGGGGCCGCTGTCTTGGTGAGGCAGGCTCTCGTCCAGCTCCGCGATGCCCGTGGACTGACTCACATGCGGACAAACCTCGGTTAGAGACCTCATTCCTAACTGACTACTTCGACACAATATATATTGACTTAGCAAATTGTTGTTTCAGATGGCTAATAAATACAGACACCATGAGTGTTTTACTTACACACAATCATTTACCCTCTAAAATCAAGAGGAGTTCGATAGGCAAACACAATGGCTCATTTAAAGGCCTATTACCTCCTCAGTACTCCGGTGCCATCAGATGGGACTGGAACAAGTCCTTTACTTTGAGCTACATCTCTTTTATTTTTGACAGATCATCCATCTGTGTTCCAGCTAAGGAACATTCAGAAATACCAGGGATTCCCATGCTCGCTATGGGAAAAAAAATAAGGAACTGTTCGGTAGACATTAACAGGGATTAACGGGTGAGGGTAGGTCAGCAACAAGACTGGTTTGTTTTACCATGTAATTAATGTATTCAATAACAACTGCAGTTTTGGGAATGTAAATTTAAATTTGAAAAATGAGAATAGTGGTACACATTCTAGTAACCGATTGGAATCGACAAAGCACTGAAAATTGAAATACAATTGTATATACGTAAACCATGGAGGGCACCCAGTGGGAGAAGTGCTGGGTAAACACTGAGACGCGGGCGCGCACCTGCATGCTCTCTCTCAGGTCCGTGGCTTCCCGGATCGGGGGCTGGGCATTCTTGAACACTTCATCTACAGTTTTAATCCACAGCGTTCTCAAGGACGCATACTCCCTGGACTTCTTCCCCTTTCTCACAGAGAGGCCCCGCTTGTGAGGCTTCCCTCCTCCTCTTCGGTTCGTGATCGCCACGTGGACAAAGAGGGAGGCGTGAGCCAGGACCTCCCCCGTCAAGGACTGCAGGGGGACGTGGCGGTAGCCCGTCTGCAGGCACTCGAAGGGAATGGTGTACTGGCCGATGAACTCGTCCCCAATGTAGTCATCGTCCAGCACGACAAAGCGCACCATGGCCAGCTCAGGCAGGTTGATCTGAAATTCAAAGCTCTCATCAAAGATGGGAGCGTCTCCATTCTGGTGCACAGTTTTTGTCCTCTGCTCTGCACAGTCAGCAGGGATGCCGTGGATCTCGACGTAGACATAAGGGTCCACCACGTCCCCTTTGGCACCGGACCCTTTGGGTTTGGGGAAGTTCTGCCCGCTGATGATTTTAATGTGCAGGAGCTGAGGCGACACCCCCGGGACGGAGTCTTTCGTGTTGGCGCTGAAGAAGGACACCTCCTCCCTCATGATGGCGGGCCGGAGGACGTAGCCACAGTTGCCGTTCTGCCTAAACCAGCCGATGTTCAGGTCCATCATCAGGCCTGGCGTCTGGAAGTTCATGGCCACGATCTGACAACCACATTTCCAGAAATCTTGAGGGTTCATGTTACTGGAGTCAATTCGCATGGGACTGGGGAAGACCCTGGCAAGGAAACGCTTGTTGTAATTGACAAAGTCCCCGGGGTTTTCATTGGCATATTTGCTGGCCAGCACTTCATTAAACGAGCAGACTTCCCAGTACTTCTGAACCTGGAATGACACCTGGAACTCCTTGAACTGGACAGACTTGCAGATGCTGACCAGTTCAGACAGCTCTTTGCAGAGCTGGAATCGCTTCACGGGCACGTTGTTGGGTTGCTCCATGTTCTCCTTCCCCATCCGCTGCGACATCTCTGCTCCTTCGTCCTCGTCGGTCACGTCCCCGTCTACTCCAGAGCAGTTCGAGGACAGCTTCTTGGCTTTGATCAGTATTCTCCCTTTCAGGACGTCCGGGGACGGCAGGTAAGATTCCTCGACGTTGGGTGACGTTGTGTAGAGCTTGTCTCCTATGATCTTCTTCATGTGTTGAACCATTACCTTCTGTTGCTTAATGGAGCAGTGGTTCTCCAAGCACAAGATGAGAGGGTACTCGGACGCGAAGAAGGCGTACTTGTTAATGATGTCGATGACGCTGCGGAACACTATCTGAGACGTCATGGTGTGGCCTGTGTAGATGACCGGCTCGTTGTCTGGCCCGTCCCACACGTCCAGCTCAACACTCCGGCAGCCCATCTTCAGAGCTCGAATGTAGCCCGTGATGTCGGAGGGGCCTCGGAACTGATCCTCTATTAAATACGTGTTGTGGGATGAGTTTATAAAGTAATGGGACAGGGGCTGCTTCATGTCCTGGCACACCTTCTTATGCTCTGGATCAAATATGTAACAGTCAGGTGACATAAGGTAATTCGTGAACCCGTCAATGGAGAGCCAGCCCTTTTCCTGACCCTCTTTAGATGGCTCGTATTTGTGAATAATTTCAAGGCTTATTTCCTCATTTATATGTGCCACACCCTGTTCCGCCTCGAGAAACATCATAAGGTCCTTGGTATCAAGGAATTCTTTATTGCTTGAAAACTGAACTAAAAGGAAATAAATTTCAGGTCTAGTACAAAGCTCATGGAAAACCTCAATAAATTCTTCCTTTGTGACATCAGTACCAGCTTTATCCTTTGATTTGTGCAACTCTTTGAACTTG